CAGAGGTGACCCTGCCACATCTCCTCCCTGGCACCATGCCAGTCCAGGCTGATCCTTTGCCACCGAGCTCTCCCCTTGCCCACCTCGCCCGTTCCTGGGCTGGCACCGAGCCCAGCCAGCCTGGCAGCCCCAGCAGGGAGGAGCTCCCAGGGCTCCTCATCCCCTTGGGCCTTGGGCTGGGCTTTGTCCTGAGATGGGATTCAGGCTGGGATAAGAAGCACAGCTATGGAAAGCCTCAAACAGAACACATGCTCCCCTGCCAGGACTCATTTCCCCATTTTACAAGTTCGGTCCTTCCGCGGACAATGGAGCAGCCCCCGGAGCTTTCCCTCACTCCGCGGGCTGGAGGGAGGAGGGATGGGGCGGGTGTGATTCTCCAGCCGAGGCTCTGCTGTTCCTGTGCCCATCTGGGGAATGTTTCTCCTTCGGAAGGTTTAATTTTCAGTTTAAAAGGAAAGGTTTCTGTGCTGTATCGAGCCCGTGGAGGGCGGGCAGGTCCTGTCGCACGGTGGAAGGAGAGGATCAGTGTCCCCTCTGTGCTCCCACTCTGTCCCTGCTGCTCCTCAGGCTCTGGGCTCTCCTGCCATGGGGCACCTCTGGCTTTTGGGAGCTGCCAGGACCTGCCTGCCGAGTGGCCAGAGCTCAGGAGCACCTGCAGATCCCTTCCCACACTCGTCCCAGGACATGCAGGACACCAGGCTGGCTGGGGTGGGTGGAGGGGATGGGGTTGGGTGCTCTGGGGCTGCCCTGCCAGTCCCTGGAGCAGGGCACGCAGTGTGTGGGAATGGGGCAGTGAGCCCTGGGCACTGCAGCTCCCCACTCCTCGCTGTGGGGCTCTGGCCACTGGGCTCTGGGTGGCCCCAGCCCAGCCCAGCCCAGCCCATCACTGCTGTGTGCCACTGCCACCCACAGCAAGGACACAGCTCTGGCCAGTGCCAACACCACAGCTCTGTCCCCAGGGCAAGCAGCAGCTCCTCCTCCAGGCAGCTTCCACGTGCTGGAATTAATCTTTAACAGGAAAGAGCCCGGAGCAAAGGCATAAAGCAAGAAATATTGAATTCCACGGTGATGGTTCGCACTCTACGTTTTCCACTCGATGAATATTTCAGGCGCTTGTGCTGCAGAAAGGGGCTCTGTCCTGTGCAGGTTTGTGTGCCTGGGCTGCCCCCGATGCCCCTCGTCCAGCAGCTCCTGCCCAGTGGTTCCAGCCCGGGGCATCCCCCCTGCCCAGGGACGTGGGGCTGCGACAGGGAACCCCCAAAATCCCCCAAATCGCTCCCTGCTGGCTGCCAGTCCCTGTGCAGGGGGGGCTGTCCCAGGCTCAGCCCCATCCCCACCCTCTCCAGGGCACTGGGGGGACACGGCTGGCACGCAGAGATGTCCAGAACCCCTGTGCCCACCCAGCACTGGCACACTCGGTGTCCCGGGTCAATCACCGTGCAGGGGCAGGCAGCAGGGTGATCGATATTTCAGTGTACAGATGGTTCTGGACGGAGCTTTAGCACCCCCTGTGCTGGCCACCCCACAAGGGTGGTCCCACAGGTCCCCTCTGCTCCTGTGGATGCTCTGCCAGGGCTGGGGACACTGTGGTGGCCAGCAACGAGATCCCAGGGTGTCCTTGCCCTATGGCCTCCCCCACACACAGACATACCCACTAACATATATATATTATATTATATTTTATATATATATATTTATATATATACACATTAACAAAGAAGTTGCAAAAAAACCAACAAAAAGGGAAAAACCCAACAGGAAGAAGAGCCCTCCCCCCAGACAAAATGGAAGCAGGAATGTTACAGTGGGAGGGGAGGCTGAGGGGAGCCAGGAGCCCACACATCCCAAACCTGTACTGGGTCAGCAGGAGCAGAGGAGCAGCAGCAGCACCCTGAGCCCCCTCGTGTGCCAGGATGGGGCTGCTGCTCCCAAACCGTGGTGACAACGGGGGGGGCTCTGCTTTCAGTACCACAAGAGGACAATGGGGGTGTGGGGCTCCCCCAGCCCCACCTGGCCAGGTACAGACACGTGTGGGGCCAGGGGGTCCCACAATTAGTGCAATTTCATCAGGTGCAAACGACACGTTAAGGGCTCGTGGTCTGTGAGCTGAGGATGCTGAGTGCCCCCTGAGCCCATCGTGGCACTGCCAGGGCCAACACCCACCTGCAGTGCCTGGCATCCCTCCTAGCATCCCTCCTGGCACAGCAGGAGCGGCCCCAGGGCACTGGCACACGTGGAAGGGATGCCAGGAGACCTTCCCATGGAAAACATCCAACTTAGAGGGTGACGGAACCCCCAAAGGGAAACGGGGCCATGTGCCAGGCTGTGGGGTGGCAGGAGCGCCCTGCTGGCCTCCCTGAGCTCCCACACCCCGGGGCTGGGAGCAGCAGGGTCAGAAGGAGGGGTGCACCCATGGGAAGGGAGGGTGCACCCATCCCTGGGTCACAGGGAACCCCTCTCAGCTTGGCAGGACCAGCACAGACCCTCCCCGAGGTGCTGCCCAGCTCCCTTTCCCCAATCGCACGTTCCAGGCACACAGAGAGGTGCCAGGCTGAGGAATGGGCTCCTTGGAGCCTCTCCTGGGCAAAGCTGTCACCACCAGGCTCACCAACATCACCCCCTGCCAGGTCACCGGGAGGGGTCACCAGAGGAGTTCGGAACCGGCTCCAGGTGAGTTCAGCCCCATGGGATGAGCCCCAGGAGCCCTGGCCTGGGCTGTGGGACCACAGAAGGGTCCATCAGGATCATTAAATCCAGCCCCTGGCCCTGCACAGACACCCAACCACCCCAGCCTGTGTTTGGGCTCTGGCAGCCTCGGGGCCGTGCCCAGCACCCCCTGAGGAAAATCCTTTTCCTGAGCCTGCTCTGACCCAGCTCCTGCCTGTCCCAGGAGTGAAGAGATGGGTGCTGCCCCTCCACTGCCCCTGGCAGGAGCTGAGGATGACAGAGGGGCCTCCCCTCTCTTCTCCTCCAGCTGAACAAACCAAGTGACCTCAGGCACTCCTGACAGGAGCCCTCCAGACCCTTCTGCATCCCCACAGCCCTTCGCGTTCACTCTCCAATAGCTTCGTGCCTCGGTTGTACCGAGGTGTGCAGAACTGCCCTCAGGGCTCCAGGTGGGGCTGCCTGAGCCCAGAGCACAGCGTGACAATCCCCCCCCGATGCCCCCAGAGCAGGGATTTCCCTCCTGGCTGGCAGATCCACCTGGATCCTGGATGGACCAGGACCCCAGGGCCCTCCCACTGCTGCTCCACAGTCAGGGCTGCCCCATGCCTGGCACAGAGCCCAGCACCTCCCATTGTCCAGCTCCTCATGGCTGTGACTCCCCACCTGTCTGATCTGTCTGGGTCACCCTGCAGGGCCCCTCTGCCCTTGAGAGGGGTGGCAGCTCCTCCCAGCTCAGTATTCCTCCCAGTCATTAACAATCCAGGCTGTTAATGAAGATGCAGAAGAGCAGAGGGCGGAGGATGGAGCCCTGCAGACCCCCCCAGTGACCAGTGCCAGCCTGATGTGACCCTGAGCCAGCTGCTCACCCACCCCACCATGTATCTGCCCATGTGGGCTGCACATTTTCTCCAGACGGACCCTGGGGGAGAGATGATCAGAGACCTGCTGAAGTCCAAAATATTCCATCTTCTGGCAGCAGCTGCCTTGGGCCACCATGATGCCTGAAATCCTTGCCCCCACCATGTCCCAGCCACTCCCACACCCACTGACCCCAAACTGTGCCACAGACCCCCGTGGTGACAACAGGGATTGTGTGCCAGCCCAGCTCCTCCTGGCTTTTAAATAAATCTGGAGACTGGAGCTTGGCCAGGGGATGATGCCTGTGGTTACTGGGAATACTGGTGACACCCAAGAGCTCCCAGTAACTCTGAGCCCCTGGGCCAGGCTCAGCCCTTTGGCCAGAGCAAACAGGATGGCTCCACACTCACAGCACCACAGAATCATGGAATAGCTTGGGCTGGAAGGGATCTTTAAAATGCACCCAGTCCCATCCCCCAGCATGGTGGAGAACAAGAAGTCAAGATTTGGGGTCATAAATTGAGATTTTGGGTCACAGAGCATAGAGGTGGTCTTTGAGCAGGGCTCTACTGCAGGCTCAGAGCAGGAAGATGAGATTTTGCTGCTGGGACACCAGGCAGGACTAATGGAGGCCAGAGAGGAGCAGGCACTGCTGGCCACACCCCGGGCCAGGAAGGAGCAGCTCTGTGCCAGGGCCAAGGCTCCTCGGGGGTGCAGCCCCGGTTACTGGGAGGAGATGGTGGGCTGGGGGTCTGTGGCTCTCCACTGCAGGACCCTGAAGATGTGTCAGGAGCAGGGACAGGCACTGGGCACACCCTCAGTGCCATCCTCACTGCCACTGCCACCAGCCTGCCTCCACGGGACCACCACACAGCCACTGCCATGCCCACCGAGCCCAGGGCTCTGAGCCTTACCCACCCCACCAGGGGAGTGACCAAGCCTCAGCCACAGGGAAAGTCCTCCCTGGAGGTGCTGCTCAGTGCTCTGGGTCCCCAGCAGGCTCCAGAGCCCAGCCCCATGTCCCAACCTCTGCCTCATGGCATGCACGAGCCATCCCTGACCACCACGAGCCATCCCTGACCACCACGAGCCATCCCCTGACCACCACAGCACCTCAGGCCACCCTGAACCCCGCCCTGGCCCTTCCAGCCCCCAGGTGAAGGCAGAACCATCCAGGTGACAATCTTCTCGGGAGAGATGGAGCCACTGGCTAAGAGCTGCTGCAGGCACTCCTGCCCACTCTGGAGCTCAGCAGCAGCAGTTCACTTCCAGCCATGGGGGAGCCTCCTCCACTTCCCCACTGCAAGGACATGGAGCTGGCTGTGGGCACAGCTCCATTGCTCGGGTGCCACCGGGGCTCCTTGGCGTGGCCACCAGCGGGCAGCTCTGGCCACCTGCACCCCGGGGCATGGGCTGGGCAGCCTAGTGCCAGGCTGTGGCCCCGGGGGCAGCCCAGTGCCCCCAGTGACCCCAGTGCCCCCAGTGACACCTGTGGCACCAGTGACACTAGTGACAGGCTTTCACCCCTGACACGTACGGGGACTCCTGGGGCCGGCAGTTACACTCCTGCTGCTCGGGGTAATCGATGAAATCCGGGGCGGGCAGCCCCGAGAGGATCATCAGGGATTTGTTCCAGATGGTGAAGGTGGGGCACACGGGCAGGATGAAGGACACCTCGAAGGTGTGCAGGTGCAGGGAGTTGGCCGGGTCGTAGAAGGAGAGCGCGTTGTTGTCATAGTCCAGGAGCACACCGAGGCGCTTCATCTGCGGGTGCACCTCCACCAGCATCTCCTTGTTGTTGTGCCTCACCACAAAGTTGTTGTTGCAGCGGGAGAAGACCCAGGAGGAGGAGTTCTTGCCAATCCACTCGTTCTTGGGAGCCGATTTGTAAGCCACGCCGACGGCGTACCTGCACGAGAGGACACGCTGCGCTCGGCACCCGCGGCCCCCCTGTGTCAGAGGGCACGGGGTGGGCACCCTGGGCAGAGGATGGGCAGGGAAAGCATCCCCCCGAGCCCTGGAGCCTTACCAGGTGGAGGAGCCCAGCACCACCTCCCAGTAGTGGCAGCCGCTGTCGATGAAGACGTTGCCGGCGGCGCCGTAGCAGCCGGTGCCGCTGAAGCGCTCCGGCGTGTGGCTCTTCTTCAACGAGCTCTCGTCCTTCTCCATCTGCAGCCCGTCGTTGGAGATCTTCAGCTTCTTGTGAGCCATCTTGGGGTCCAGCTTGAACGGCTGGCCTGGGGGGAGGAGACACCGGGGTTAGGATTTTTGTTATTGGCATCACGGTGTGGGAAAGGGGCTTCTCCACATCCCCTGTTCTCAGCTCTGAAGATTTAATCGTGGTTTGCTTGGGTGTTCTCCCCAAAACCAGACCAGACCTGGGTGCTGTCCCAGAGCTCCAACCAACCTCCCTGTCTGTCAGTGATTTCTCTCTGCAAGTCCTCAGACTATCCCTGGATTTGCAAACAAAACCCCAAAGAAGCAAACTGAGCTCAGGGAGGTTTTACACTGTGTTTTCACTCGAGATGCAGAGAAGTGCACACAGGCTCTGGAGAGCATTTCCACGGGGATTCACCTGCCTCAGGACAAAGCAAATGACAGCTGCAGAGAACACCCCAAGTCCTGCCAGCACCTTCACCCTCATTTTTCGGGACCCAGCTGGGGACACGACTGGCTGTGTCCTCCTGCACGCTCCCATTTCGGCTGCAGACACAGAGACCCAGCCAGGAAAAACTCTGACACCACCACAGCAATGGGGTCCTGAGCCTGGGCTGGGGACCCCAGAAGAGCCAGGAAACCTTGCACACAGACACACAGAGAGCCCCAGGGCAGCTGGGAACTTCTGCAAAGAGCAGAACATCGGTGCCAATGGCAGCCGCAGAGCAGAGCTCATCCGTGCTCTGTTACCTGATGGTAGCTCGTGCTGCTTTTCCTCAGAGCCCAATCTGCTGAATAATTGAGCTGAGAAGCCTGAAAGTAAAGCTGCAAATTGGGAGTGACCTGCCCCCTCCTTCTTCTGGCTGCTCTGATCTTTCTGCTGTATCTTTTCCTGGCAGTAATGCAAAGAGACAAGCTCTGAGGAAGTGAGGTATGAAAACACTTGGCTCCATCAGGAGACAGACACTCACAGCTCTGTTTCTGAAGGCAAGCCCTTGCTAAGGTCAGTGTGAAGAACTGGAGCCCAGCCCCTGTCCCTGGTTTGTGCTGGCACGTCCTGGAGCCAGGGCTGGAGCTGCATCCACAGGCAGTGTGTGCAGTGGGCTGGGAGGGTATTCCAGAGAACACAGCCATGCACCTGCTACCACCAACCCCCTCCCCAAAATATCACCCTGGCACTGGGAAAAAAACACGCAGAGGGCATGATGGTGCCAACCTCAACCCCTGGCGTGGGGGCTGCCAGAGGAGGGGGGCTCTGACTGCAGCCTTCCCTCCCTGCTCCCCCATCACCAGAGCGCCCCTGTGCCCCCCAGCCCTGCCCTGCAGAGAGCAGAGGGTTCTCATCATTAACATTTCCTCTCCTCATTAACATTTCCTCTCGTTAACGTTTATCTCCTGGGCTGGTCACTCAGATTTCCTTTAGCCCACAAATTCAGCTGAATTCAGGACATTCCTGATAGCCTTTAGTGCTCATTCCTGCACGAGGCTCAGGAGCTGTGGGGAAGCAGCCACAGCTGGACACACCTCATGGATTTACCAGCTGGGTTAACCCTCCCTTCCCTGCAGAGCAGAGCAGAGGAAATCCTGCCTGGCTCTGGGTGTGTGCAGCCAGGAACGTGGTCAGGGTCGCTGGAACTCGGGGATGGAGCCAGGAACGTGGTCAGGGTCGCTGGAATTCGGGGATGGAGCCAGGAACGTGGTCAGGGTCGCTGGAATTCGGGGATGGAGCCAGGCAGAGGGGGGTGGGCGCTGGAGCTGCACCCCCACCCTGCAGGACCCCAACACCCACCCTGCTCCCCTGGGGCTCACAGGGCTCCTGCACCCAGCACAGTGCCAGGGGCTCAGCAGCATCATCAACTCATAGGGAAGCCATAAACCCATCCAAATCCATGGATCTTTTCACAGATTCCCTCATGGGAAGCTTCTGCAGGGACCATCCTGCTCCCCAAAAACCCCAACATGGTTCAGTCAGTAACAGTGACCCTGCTCAGGCACCAAACCCACCCCTGACATCTCACACGGGATGTGCATGGAGCCATCCTGGAGCACACTGAGGTCTTGCCAAGAGATGCAGAAATCAGGAAAAGCCAGAATTGTGAGGGAAAATAGGGCCAGGATGCCGTGGCCAAGGCAAGGGCTGCAAAATCCATTTCCTGCACATAATTTACGGCCAGAGCTGGGCCTGTCCCTGCATTCCAGCACTTCCAGCAACTTTTGGACACTTGCTCCTAAATAAGTCCTGCAGCCTCAGCAGAGGATGTGTCTCTGTCACTGAACCAAACCTGTTTTCCCAAACCTCTCTGTTCAGGAATGCAGATTCAGTGCCAGCACTGAGCAATGATTTCCTGTGCTGTGGAAATCACTGTCCTGACACTGACCTGGAGATGGAGGGATCTCTCCAGACATCCCTTCAGGAACAGAACGGGCTGTGAAATATGTTAATGGCCCTTTCTGTGCTGAGCTGCTACACTGCCACCAAGGTTACAGCAGGGAGGGCTGTGCTCTCCAGGACCATGGGGACACATGCAGGCACTGGGAGGGCACGGGCACGGGCAGGCAGGAGCCTCGAGAGCCAATTTATTCCTCCCCCAACATCTCGGTGTCCCTGCCGTGCCACCCCGCAGGCCATGGCTGCCAGTGCCTCTGCTGCCTTTGCTGTCTTTCAATGGAAAAGCTTTCCCACCACAAACCCCAGAGCTCTGTCAGAGCTCAGCTTCCCCTAAACACATTTAACCTTCCTTGGCATCCCCGGGGCACTGGAAAGAAAAAACTCCTGCTTTGTGTGTGGCTGCAAAGCCCCATCCACCACCACGGAGACGCTTTTCACCCCTAAGGCTCTCCAAACCACAACCCTGTGCAAGCTGAGCCACACACACCACCACGGCTCTGTGACCCCTTGCATCGGCCCCACAAAGGCCAGGGATGGAAAGCCACAGGGGAAGGGGCTGTTGTGGCCCCAGGGATGGGGCTGAAGGAGCAGAGAGCTGCCGGGAGCCCCTGGCACCACAGGGGCGACCAGGAGCCCGTCCCTGGGGCACCAGGGCAGACGGGACCTCCAAGCATTTAACCACACGGTGTTTCCAGCCCCTGCCAGCACTCAGCCACACCCCAGCGCCCAGGACTCTGTCCCCCAGCCCTGCAGGGCCAGGGCACGGCCTGGCACAGGGCCTGGCACCTACTGTTGGTCTTGAGGCGGGCGGGCTCGCTCTGGCGGCTGCCAGCCTGGTTGATGGCTTTCACCAGGAAGATGTAGCGGGTGCCACTCTGCAGCCCATGCACCGTGTAGTGGTTCTGCTTGATGTTGGGCACGATCATCCAGCTGTCCATGGAGTTGTAGAGACCTGCAGTGCAGGAGAGGGGCAGAGGTTTGTCCCCAGGGAAGGACACGACACAAAGCCCGTGTGTCCCTCGCAGGGAGGGAGGGAGGGATTTACTGCCCTCCCTGCAGAGCGGCTGCACGGAAACTTCCAGAGGTGACAAATCCCAGCAACGCTGGATCTTTGCCATTATCAGGGACTGAGGGCTCTGAGACTCACTGACAGCTCTGACACAGACTGACAAACCCCCGCTCTGAGGCACCTGGTCAGCACTGCTCACAGCAGCAGGAGCTGCTAGGAAAACCAGCAATAAACCTTCCTCACAAGCCACAGAGCAGCAGGGGCTCTGTCCTCAGTCCTCAGATGAAATCCCATCCCTGTGAGACAGATCTGTGGTGGTGTGCAAAAACAAGCAGGTATGGCAGCAGTTTTCCTGACAAATGCCCTGGAACGTGGCTCAGAGGGTTTATAAACCACGGGAGTAATCAGCCATGGAGCAGCCAGTGCTGCCCTGGGTGTGATCCACAGGAGCTGGGAGCTGGACAGAGCCTCCAGTGCTCCCAAAGCTTCCCCAGGCTGGGGCTGGTGACACCAGGTGCAGACCAGAGCACCTCAGGGATGGCCCCCCCAGCACGGGGAGGGCTCCACTGCTCTGATCCACCAGCCCTCGGTGTTTCCTCCACAAACACCCGGCCCTGAAACCCACTGCTGAGCCTGAGAGCCTTTCCTTGACAGAATCCCAGCCTGGTCTGGGTTGGAGGGGACCTTAGAGCTGATGCAGTGCCAGGGGCAGGGACACCTCCCAGTGTCCCAGGCTGCCCTGGACACTCGCAGGGAGGCTGTGTGGGCAGTCAGGGCTCCCTGCCGAGGGGGGGACTTACTGATGAAGTTGGCCTGGCCAGTGAAGATGGTGTACTGGAGCTCGTAGGAGCTGACGCTGAACTCGTCCTCGGAGATCCAGTGCACGGTGATGGTGTCGTGGGAGGCTGTGCACAGCTCCTCCCTCACTGACGGCGGGTTGGGTGCTGGGGGATGCCACAGAACACACCTGCCTCAGTCTGGGCTCTCCTTCCTCAAAAACCCGCGGCTTTTCTGCTCATGGGAGGACTGACGTGGGCTTGTGGCAGGAGCAGAGTCTCTCAGCGCCCCTCAGGTCACCTGGCACTGAGTTTCCCACTCAACTCAACTTTTTAGTTGAACGAAGCATCCGGAGGGCAGAGCACGGAGCTGCTCCATCAGTGACGCCCCCACCCTGGAGCAGCTGAGAACCCCCTTCCAAACCCAGCCCTGCACTGCCCGTGGAGGAAGTGTTTGATCCCATCACTGATCTGGACACGCTTGTGCTAATCTCCCACTGCAAGCTGATCTGCTCCACGATGATAAAATGGGATTTGGGTGAGTGAGGATGTGCTCACCTCTCATCCCCCCAGGGCTCCAGCACAGGCTGGCCCAGCAGAGCCCAAGGGCAGGGATCAGCCTGTGCTGGGGCATCAGGGCAGCCCTGAGGTCCTGCCCAGCAGGGTTCAGCATTTAGGACCAAATCACCCAGAAAAAGGGCAGGGAAAGGGAAATGTAAAGCACAGAGCGCCTCAGAAGTTTAATAATTGGTTAATTCATCATTCCTCCTCTGTAATCCTTATGGATCCTTACATAATCCTTATCCCTCTTGCATCCTCTTGGGCATCAGCCTCCCCCACCAGGTCATGGAGACCTGAATTTTTAAGCCTTCTGGACTTTTCCGTGGCTCCTCCAGGACGAGCAAGGTGAAACAGGAGGATGGGGACATGTCACTGTCCTGGGGATAGCACAGGCCCTGCTCTGCCACAGCTGACCTAAAACAGCCCTCATTTAAAGTCCTAAAATCAGTCTGCCAGCCCTTGGTGGAGCACAGGGCAGGGGGCTGAGGGGAGCACACCTGGGCACTCACCTGTTAGATAATCCAGCCCCTCCAGCAGCTTCTTCTCTCTGGAAAAATCTAAAGCAAAGTTTTCAAAGGCATCATTAAAATTGATATCTGGTATCAGGACTTGAGAGGATGCAGTTGCCATGGCGACCCTGGAAGGAAAGAAGGGACCATCAGAGGGAGGCACAGGGATGGGGGCAGCAACACTGCATGTGCCTCACCTGCTGTCAGGAGAGCAGCCTGCACCCACAGACCCCTGCCCTCACCTGCACCCACAGACCCCTGCCCTCACCTGCACACACAGACCCCTGCCCTCACCTGCACCCACAGACCCCTGCACCCAGACCCCTGCACCCAGACCCCTGCCCCAGGTCTATCCTGGGGACAGCCCCTGAGACTGGGGGGCTCCATCCCTGGGGTTTCCAGCTTTGACTGGCCCTGAACTCCCCTTGGATTGGCATTTCCACACCTCCCTACCCAGGGAACGGGGCTGGCTTCACACTACTGTCAGGACCTGTCCTGGCAGGGAGGGGAGCCTGAGCCGGGGTTGATGTGAGGATAAACTCGGGTTTAGCAGTGTGGGAGCTGAGGGTGGCTGGGATCTCTGGCAGGGACCCAGAGGCAGGGCCAGCTGCAGCCCGTCCCCGTGTCCCCGCGTGTCCCACCTCTCAGCCACGTTCCTGGCAGTCTGCAGGAAGCGAGCGTGGTCGTTCTCCTTGAGGATGTGCTCGGCCTGGTTGATGAGCACCGTGGAGCGCTCCAGGCACTGCCGGCAGTTGGCGACCTGCTGGGCCAGCTTGCGCAGCTTCATCACCTGGGGGGACACGGGGGGACACGGGGGGTCAGGAGGGGCACGGGGACACGCGGACACAGGGGGCTCAGGAGGGGCACAGTGAAGCTTTTCCCACGTTCAGTTTTGCTGGGAGGGGAAAGCCCCAGGGCACAGCCTGTGTGATGGACGCTGCAGATGGAGCTCTTGCTGACCCTCTGACATTTGTCATTCCTTTCAACCATGAGAATCTGAGAATCCTGGGTGCTGCCTTCCCCTCTGGGGTGGGATGAACACAGAGAAACCTCTGGAAGCGCCTGGAAGCACAGGAGGAAAGGTCCAAGCTCCCCCCAGCTGTGCTGCAATGCAGAGTGTGCAGCCTCTGCTCTCTCTGCAGCACTGCACCGTGGCCCTTCAATAGGAATCCCACATTATTCTATCAGAACCTCAGTGGTGAAGAACTGTCTGCACCAACCTGCCACCCTAACCAGCACACTGCTCCTGCTGCAGTGCCAGCCAGCACAGGCTCTGTCCTTGGCAGAGGAGCCCTGGGGCAGCACCAGGGAACAGCACAGACACCTGGATTTGGGGTGGCACAGAGGGAGCACCAGGGGATACCCGAGTCTGGACAGGGAGATGCACCAGTGCTGCCCACAGCACACCCTGGGGCTGGCACAGGGTCCCTGTGCCCAGGGACACGGGAGCTGGCAGCCCTCACCTTGGTCTCCTTGATCTTGACAGCGATGACCTGCTTGCGCTGGCGGATGATCTCCATCAGCTCATCACACTCCTCCATCAGCTTGGCCTCGTGCATGGCTGTGTTCACCTGGGCAGGAACAGCAGCACAGGCTTGGCAGGGACACAAAACTCACAGGCTTGGCAGGGACACAAAACTCACAGGGTTGGCAGGGACACAAAACTCAGGGCTTGGGAGGGACACAAAACTCGGGGCTTGGGAGGAACACAAAACTCACAGGGTTGGCAGGGACACAAAACTCAGGGCTTGGGAGGGACACAAAACTCACAGGGTTTAGGAAGGACACACACAGGGTTGAGGAAGGACACACACAGGGTTTAGGAAGGACACACACCTCACTCTCATGGCTGTGCTCACAGTGGTGCACACACACAGTCACAAGCAGAGGTTCCAGTCCTCTGACTCCAGGGATCGCAGGGAGGATGGACAGGACAGGACAGGACAGGACAGGACAGGACGGGGGGGATGCACTTCATGGAAGAGGAATTGAGCCCTAGCACTTCATTAAAGCACACTACAGGACAGAAATCGGTTTTCCTCATTCTGTACTCCCAAATCCCTCTGAAACAAGGCAGCCTTGAGTGAACCACATTTTTGCTACAGGATCTTTTTTTAAACCTGGCCAGCAGATTATGCAACACTGGAGTGGGAGACAGCTGATGGTCTGCAAAGAGAGCTCCACTGAGGAAAAGCAGCGGAAAATCTTCTCAATCTGCTGCATGTGGCAGGGGGCAGGGAACAGCCCCAGGGTTTGGAGCCTGCAGCAAGCAACAGTGGCAGGGATGCAGGGATGCAGGGATGCAGGGATGCTGTGGCAGAGCATGGAGGGGTGCTGCAGACCAGCACTGCTCCACTGGCAAATCCCTGGCTCAGGAACACCTGGACACCGGCCAAAGCACTCGAGGGAGGAGCCAGCTCCCAGGTAAACGCTGCTTTGGGGCTGCAGGAAAGCTGAGCAGCTTTTAGTTGCCAAAGGGAGAGAAAAAAATCTTTCACCCACCTAAGTGCTGGGGGAAAATGTGCTAGGGACAACAGTCCTGGAATAAACTCAGCTCTGGGAAAAGCCTGTCCTGCACCTCGTGGGGATGAGAAGCAGCATCTCAGCCCACAGCCTGAGTCACACATAGACAAACCTCCTCCTGCATGCTCCAGCAGCTCAGGGATGGAGCACAGGATCCCCTCCCACCCCACAGTCCCCACAGGATTTTGGCTGTGCAGCAGCCCTGGGGACAGCAGGAGCTCACACGGAGGCTGCTGTGACACAGAGGCCACATGCCACACATGCAGCTCTGCTCTCCCCACAGTGGGGACACTGGGCTGCCACCATCCCCATTTCACAAACTCAGCTGCTCTGCAGGGCTCTTATCTGCTCTCCTTGGTCCACATTTCCATCACTGCCACAGGATTTGGCCATTTCAGCCTCTCTCAGGGCAGCCCCCATGCCCCAGAGCCACTCTGAGGGGCAGCACAGGCTCAGGGCTTTGAGGACACTGGCAGTGCCCTTCCCCATTCTCTGGACATGCCATGGGATTGACACTGAACGTGGCTGAGGGGCAGAGTACACGGGGACTGCATGTGCCTGCCTGGGTGCCATGCCCACAGTTAGCTCAAAAGCAAAATTCCCTGAATCAGACTGATGGGAGCACGGATATTTTCTGCTTTAGTTTACTGTGCTCTCTGCAAAGGTGCCTCCAAGGGCCTGGCTGTGCACTCAGCAGAGCTGAGAAATGTTACTTGAACTGTTATTTTGGGCAGAGCGACTGACAAAGCTGAAAACTCACAAACTCTGTCAAAAATGACAGCTTAGAGGTCTCAGACTCGGAGGATTAGACAGAAATATGAAACATCTTCCAATTTCTCCTACGTCGGGTCATTAAGACATTGGAGCTGGATTCAAAGGAAGGGGTTTGGAAGGACATCCATGCACATCCCTGCTCCATCCCTGGTGGGTTCTCAGAGCCAAAGCAAGGGCTGGTGACTGTCACCAGAGCTCTGCAAGGGCATCCTGGCTCCTTCTCTCCCTGCCAAACATCCTTTTGCTATCTGTGCTCCCAGACTCAGCCCAAGCCCTGGGGAGGAGGAAGCCCAGGAGCTCCAACCAAGCCCTTCCTGCTGCAGTGATGCACGGGCAGAGAGAGGCAGGACAACACCAGTGGCACACAAGCCAGCACTGCTGCAAGTGGGATTTTTCTTTTTCCTGCTCCTTATTTTGGCTGGAAGCTCAGAGCATCTCAGCCCCCTCCTCCTCCTCTCTGCACACTGTGGCAGTGGCTGCCAGCTGCTGGCACTCACAAAAAGCTTCTGCTCTCACTCCTCTTGCCAGATCATCAGGACAGCACAGAGGGAGAGAAGAACAAAGCACTGGTGCTGCCTGCAGGAACTGCAGGGCCTGAAGCACCCCCAGAGCCCAGGGCTGCTCTGACAGCAGCTGTGAAGGACGAGCTGCAGCTCCCTGGGCAGATGCATCATGGATGCTTTGCTGTGGGCAAACAGCTCCACCCAGCACAGGAGCACCCCTTGTCCGACTGCAGCACCCCTGCATCCTGCCACAGCACCCCTGCATCCTGCCACAGCACCCCTGCATCCCCCTGCACACCCCTGCATCCTCCTGCACATCCCTGCATCCCCCTGCACAGCCCTGCATCCCACTGCAGTTCTCAGTGCCTCCCAACCCTGCCAGACCCCTGGGAACCATCCCTGTGTCCTCCCCTGCTTGGGATCACCCACCACGCTCGTCTGTGCTCCCCCAGACCCCAGGAACGGCCTGTGGGGTGATCCATGCCCGCACTGCCCTCCCCAGCCCCTCCTGGCCCTCACCCACCTCCACCTGCTGGCAGATCTGGATCAGCTTGGCCATCTGGTTTTCCAGTTCGCTGTTGCGTTTGACCAGGTTGGTGAGATTTGTCTCCAGGGTTTGCTGCAGGTCCAGAAATGGGAGAGAGGGGGAAAAACAGAGAGATTAGCACAGCTGGAGTGTCCCCAGTCCCCTGTGCCTGAGGGAGGGGCACTGCAGTAACTTTGGGCAAGGCTGTGGGGCAGCTCCTGGCCATGCCAGCCCATGGGGACCCTGGGGTGTCAGCAGCGTGGCTGTCTGCCCTTTGCCACTCCTCTGAGAGCAGATTCTCACTGTTCTCATCACCAGTTTTGCTCTGCTCAGGGTGAGGGAGATGGACAAGAGCCCGATGAGCCACGGGACAGGGATGTCCCCTGTGCCCAGCACCTCAGCTGGAGCTGCCATGGCACGGCAGGGAGAGCTCAGCCCTGCCTGGCTCAGTCCCCAGGCACGCTGCCCTTGGCTCAGCAGAGCCGATCTCAGCCCAGGAGATTGTGAGCAGGGATTCAGGGATTCTGATGCTGGGATCCAGGCAGCAGCTCATGGGCAGATCAGAGCACAGGGCTGCCCGCAGGCTGCTCTGCTCTGCTCTGGCAGGAGCAGGGATGTGCAGCACGGATGAGGACCCCATCTGAGGGGATACCCACACCAGTTTGTGGGTGTCACCAATGCCAGGGACACAGCACTGCCAGCCCCACGTGCTCTGACAGGAATGCTTCAGAACAAAGCACTCCCTACCTGTGGCAGTGCCTGCCAGGAAATGATATCCCATTAATATTTGAAACTCCAGGGCTGGAAGAGGCTCCCTGAGGTGGTTCATTCATCTGCAGGTTGGAAGTGCAGTCTGAGGCTTTCATGTGACTCCAGCAGCCCCATAAGCACGGCCCCTCTCTGCACAGATGGGTGACTGGGGGCTCCTGAGCCAGGAAAACCTGAATCACAGGCACGGGCAGAGCACTCATTCCTGAAAAACCACCGGCTCCTAAAAATACTCCCAGCTCGTTTGCAACCATGAAAATTGCTGGCCAAGGGCGAGTAAGGCAGAAGGCAGGAGCAGGCTGGAGAAATGGAATAAAAGCCAGGGAGCCTTGGCTGTGCCAGAAGGGTTTGCAGAGTGGGGCTGGGTGGAAAATGGAAAAGGCAGCTGCTCCCACCCCCCTCTCCTCACAGCCCAACATTACAAACATCATTTCACTCCAGCAAGGAGCATTTCACTTGCTAATTACCTCCCTGATCAGCAGCGAGGCTGCACTGAGGCTGCAGCTTTGAACTCCCCCAATCTGATTTAATGTCCCTGGTGAGAGGGAGGGCAGGGCAGGGCAGGGGCTGGGGTAAAGCTTTGAAGCACAGTGCCCACCCCACCTGTGCCCACACCTCACCTGTGCCCACATCTACACCCCACCTGTGCCCACATCTGCACCCCACCTGTGCCCACACCCCACCTGCAGCACCCCAAGTTTCCTACACCCACAAACGCCGTCCCCAGCAGCAGCCCCTCCCCACACACCGTCTGTGCCAATGCTGTGGCACTCAGAGGAGCTGTTCTGGTGCCAGCCATGGTTCCCCTGCTGCTCCCCCCTGCCCTCAGGGCACCCCCAGACCCTGGCTGCCCACCCCTCTGCATCCCAGCAGAGCACACATGGAATGTTTCCATCTGTCTGATGTGCTCAAACAAATAGAATGGGCTTGAAGCCTGCATCACACCAGCTGGTTATTTTGTAGGTGTATATAAATTACAGCAATTACAGGGGTTGGGTTTTAATTGCTTTATAAAATGCCTGTCATTTCCCCAAACCTCCCCGTTCTGCCCTGAAATACAAATAGGTGATTTCTCTACAGCTGGGGACACAAGTGAGAAAAGGGCCTCGAGTCCCTGGTGCTCTGTGGGGAGAAGGGCCTGGGTCACCCAGGGACAGTGGGGAGGGGACAGAGAGGGAAGTGCCCTGGGGACAGGGGCTGAACCTTCCCCACCCCGAGTGTCAGGGATCAAACCCTCCCAGGACTCAAGAGAGCAGCTCAGCACCTGCAGCCCTTCCTGCCAGGGAGCAGATCCACAAGAAATCCATTCCCACCCTTCACCTGCCAGTGAACAGATGCCCAATAATTCCATGCCCACCCCGGCAGGGCAGAGCAAGCTCCCAGCCCCGAGCTGCAAGTGCCACTGCTCGTGTTTGTTCAGTCACAGGCACAATGGGCAACAACCTGATTTTCCTTTTCCTCCAAGCACCAGCCAAGCAGGTGAACTAAGCATGGATTTCTCTGTTTGAAGAAGGCATCAGGGTTGCAGGTTCAAGACAATTTCAGGAGCTATAAATAGGTGGTGTCCCCCTGTGCTCCACCAAACACAACCCAGAGCTGCTCTCCATGCCAGTCCCAGCCCAGGCAGCAGCCTGGCAGCTCTGGGAAATGCTGGCAGCCCTGTGCCTTTAACCAGCTGGGACCTGGAGCAGAGCAGGCCCTGAGCCCCAGGCAGGTGCCCAGGAACAGCTCCCCACAGTCACACACCTGAGCTGGGGGCTGCAAGCCCCCAGGAGTAGCAGATCCCCCAAGGCTCAGATCTCCAGCATGAACCTGTGGGTGTGGATGGGAGGATCTGGAGAAGCCTGGAGCTGGGAGAGCCCTAGGGAAGGAATGCAGGGGGTGAGAGACCCAGGACTCAGCCTGGCACGATGGCACAGAGGGTGTCCTTTGGCTCTGCCTCCCCCCAGACAGGTTCCTGCATTTATCTTCACGGGAAGGCAGCCAAAACTGCAGAGTGATACTGCCAGTGATTTACTCAGGGCTCTCCTCATTGCCCCTGCTCATCTCTAATCACTGCCAAGCATGGATGTGAATCCCTGCCCTGATCCTCCTGCACACCACCAGCACAAATCCCGTGTGCAGCCACAACCCCACGTGCAGGCACCAAGTCACACCCATCCCAAATGCTCCCTGCATGCCAAAGCAGCAGGAAAAGCAGCTCCTGGAAGCCAGCAGTGCTCACCTGCTCACCTGGACAGGGCAGCACCATTGGGATCACTGCCACCTGAGGAGGCACAGCCAAGCCCCTGGGGCTCAGGATGTGCTGCCAGGAGCCAGCACGGGGCAGGATTCCTGCTGGGTGTCCTCTGCCTTGTCCTGGAGCAGCACAGGGAAGCCAGATGTCACCAGGACATGGCCCAGGGCATCAGGAGCCTGCCAGGAGCTCCGGAGGGAGCTGCTCCTTGCTAAAACCACAGCGCTGTTGACAGCACGAGGCAGCTGTGCCTGCACTGGAGCCGTGGGAGCCTCCACCATGTCCCTGCTCCTGCCAGGACTGCTCTGCACTGAGCTGCTGCCCAGGGCGAGCTGATGGAATTGATGTGCTTTGTCTCAGCAATGCCGGGGCAGCAGCAGCAGCGGGGCAGGGTGACCTGCAGGCAGCTCCCACCAGGGCCATTGCAGCCCCATCTGCTCTCAGGAGGGTTTGGAGCAGGGCAGTGGGGATGGAACAGCATCCTCTGCACTGCCAAACCAAAATCACAGCTTTGGAAGGGACCATAAAGCTCATCTCATCTCATCTCATCTCATCTCATCTCATCTCATCTCATCTCATCTCATCTCATCTCATCTCACCCCCCCCTGCCATGGCAGGGACACCTTCCCCTGTCCCAGGCTGCTCCAAACCGTGTCCAGCCTGGCCTGGGCACTGCCAGCACTGCCAGCACTGCACCCCGGGCTCCTCTCAGTGGCCACAGCAGGTCCAGAGCCTGGCACTGCTCCACTCCCTGCTGCCCCTGCCATGGCTGCTCACAGGGATGAACGTGGCACTGCCAGCAGCACGGCCAGGGCATTCACACTGCAACAGGGGAAATTTAGGCTGGATATTGGGAGTAAATGCTTCCCTGGGAGGGTGGGGGGGCCCTGGCACAGGGTGCCCCTGGATCCCTGGCAGTGCCCAGGGCCAGGCTGGAATTGGGGTTGGAGCACCCTGGGACAGTGGGAGGTGTCCCTGCCGTGGCAGAGGGGTGGAACAAGGGGAGCTTAAGGTGTCCTTTAACCCAAACCATTCTGTGATTCCACAGTTCTATGTTTAGAATCAATTCCCAGCGCCAAGGAAAAAAAAAAATTGGGGAAAAATATGCAAAGTCAGTCAGCTCCTGGGCTGTGCTCAGAGAATGTCCCCAGACAACAGGACAAGTGACACAGAGACAGGACTGAGCTGCCATGTGTGACATTAATGCATTCTAAGTCACTTTGGAGCAAAACAGGCTGAGCAAGAGCTGAGAGCTCTGCCAGCATCGGGGGCTGCTGTGGCCCCAGTGGCAGAGCTGACCTAGAAACCAGCTCTGCATGGCACGGGGGGTCTGGGGGGGCTCTGCATGGCACGGGGGGCTCTGCATGGCACGGGGGGTCTGGGGGGGGCTCTGCATGGCACGGGGGGGTCGGGGGGGGCTCTGCATGGCACGGGGGGTCTGGGGGGGGCTCTGCATGGCACGGGGGGCACGGGGGGCTCTGGGGGGGCTCTGTGGGAGATCAAGAGCCAAGAGCCTGAGCCTGAGCCAGGCAAAGGGGGCTCTGGCAGTGACCCCAGTGTGGAGGGGATGGGGACCAGGGGATGCACTCCACCAACACCAGCACACCTGAGGGTGTGGTGACGTGCCCATGTCCCTGAGCAGTGTGAGCAATAAAAGAACAGCTCCAAATCCATTCAGCAACTTTAATCCCTGCTGATCTCCCGGGCTCAAACCCTGCCTGGCTCTTCCTGTGCTCACCTGCACAGCCCTGGAGGGAAGCTCCCTGTGGGGTGCAGGTGACACAGGGGTGGGTTTGTCACAGCCAGGGCTCCCAGCCACACCCATCATGAGCCCTGGAGTAGCTGGGAGTCACCCAGGCTCCCTGGGCACACAGTGCTCCAGCCGAGGTGGCCCCATTGCCCCCTCCAGCTCACAGCACAGGGTAACAATCCCAGCCTGGCAGCACCCAGGGCTGGACCCTGCCCACAGTGGGGTAAATCCACCATTTCCAAGCTGTAAATGGCATGAGAGGAAGGAAGGAACTGTGAGGAGGCACGGGAGCAGCTGTGCTGGGCTGGGGCAGGCAGTGGGATCCTGCACACAGCATTC